TCAGTGAATCATTAATTTTTGACAGACACCTGTACAAAATACTTGGACAAAAGCCAGCTAAGATTTTCTGGTATCTTGCATGTTGTATGAATCTATTCACGGCTAAATGCAGCACTTTTTTTCTGAGATGAGGCATTTGTTTTTATACTAAAATATCTGAATTACTTTGAATAAAGTTGGAAATTATGGCCCTTAAAATAATTAAACAAATTAGGCACCAATGATTCCCCTCTGTTGTTTCAACCCCAAAACTTGTTTGTATTCAAAATTAATTATGACAATTCATATTCATATTGAAACAAACTATGATAAAGGGAATAATATTATATAACAAAGGGCAAGGTCCCAAAGTTCAACTATGTTTTTTTTTTCAAATTTTGTTTTTGTGCCAGATGCCAGTCCTGGACATTTTTCATGTGCAAATAGCAGATGTGTGTTTTGACACAGTGCATTTTTGCCACAGAAGCCATATTCATGTTTGGAACTACAAATGCAAATTTAATGCCCTATCCTGGTGTCAACCAGACATTAACATTTGTTGTTGTAATTTCAGATATTTCACAATGAAGTGGCTTCTGTCCATACTATGCAGATGAAGAAAATTTTGCCCAAAGATACTGGAAAATACTCTTGTAAAATAGAAAATGAGAAAGGAAGTGATAGCAGTGCTTTCTCTCTATTAGTTGAAGGTATCTTGTTTAGACTTGTTTTATTTTTTTAGCTCCTTTGTCGACTTCGTCGAGCGGAGCCTATCATATGAGTGATTGTCCGTCGTCGCCTGCCGTCGTCCGTCATCCGTGTCAATGTTTTACTTTTTCGACTTCTTCTTGAAAACTGTAAGCCTGAATGCTTTGATACTTGGTGTATATGTACCCTGTGTAGACCTCTCTCAGATTTGTTTATTTCATGATCATATCTTCAATTCTTTAATTTTGGTTATATTTTTGTCATTTTTGGTAAAAAGTGACATTTTCAACTTCTTGTTAAAAACCAATTGTCCAATTGCTTTGATATTACATATATAGGTACTGCATGTGAACCTCCCTCATATTTGTTCATTTCGTGGTGATATCTTTAATTCTCTAATTTTAGTGAATATTTTTGTAATTATTGGTAAATAGTGATATTTTCGACTTCTTGTTGAAAACCGCAAGTTCAATTGCTTTTATAATACATATATAGGTACTACATGTGGACCTCTTTCAGATTTGTTAATTTTGTTGTGAAATCTTCAATTATTTAATTTTGATGATTATTTTTGTCATTTTTGGTGAAAAGTGATATTTTTGACTTCTTGTTGAAAACCGCAAGTCCGATTGCTTTTATATTACATATATACGTACTACGTGTGGACTTCTTTCAGATTTGTTCCGTTGCTTTTTATATATATATTGTTCATTTTCTAATGATATCTTCAGTTCTTTAATTATAATGTGCATTGCTAACAGCGGAGCTATCTCAGCTGAGAGGCTGCTTGTTTAGCTTCATAGTCATATAGACTAGATTGTAGATTTGAGGATGTTAGTGGAGGTAAACTTCATGGTAGACTGATCGCTTCTGATTGTCATTTTCTATAATTATTGTTTTAACATAAATTTAGTGATGCAACTAATAGAAAAATTACTGTAAACAAAATTGGATTATATCATTCATATTTCATTCATATTTCAGCACTTGCAAAAGATGAAGTGGATTGGAGGTCAATGTTAAAACATAAGTATGTCCATGATAATATTCTCTGATTATAAATACGACAATACTTATTATCATGTTTTTAATGTAGTGTCCTTATTGCTGTTGTCATCATCCTAAATGTTTTACTATATATGTCACATTCCTTTGTTATACAATAATAATAATAATAATAATAATAATAATAATAATAATAATCTCTATTACCACCGTTAAGAAAATTTGATATTTCTATTTTGGTTTACACGTTACATGTAATAAAGTTTTTTGTTTTTTTATCACAATACAACTAAATATGTTAAAATAATAAAATGTCTAATACATATGCTATCGACCTTTAAATTAAAATTAAAAATGTAGATAATAACAAAGATTAAATCTGCAAGAGATTTTCTTTTTTCCAATGCTGTTTTATTTGTGTTGTTCATAATGTATATGAACCTTTGTGTACTGCTGACTGAATCAAATTTCTCTATATGAGAAAACAAGGAGTACAGATGTCTCCATTCAGCTGCATATAGTGGACATTTTGTGATAAAATGAATTTCATCTTCAATTACTGTACAATTGTGACATTTTCTGTCATCTGTTTTTGTTTTTGGTCTTGTGTGTCTGCCTGTTTCTATGTGTAATTTGTGGCAGCTTAAACAAAATTTGCTTAGTGTGCCTATTGCCTGTCTGTCACTAATGTGGTTTATGTAGGTTTATATAATTATAGGTGTTGTCAAGATAAGTAATATTTTAATGAATCAAAAGACAATAAATGTAAATTTTGTTTTATGTGCACTTCTAATGAAACAAATACAGTTTTCCAACCATTTCTCATTACATGTTTGTACCTACATTGTACCCTGGCCACCATGCTACCATGAGTGAATCATAACATACATATGTACCTACATTGTACCCTGGCCACCATGCTACCATGAGTGAATCATAACATACATATGTACATATGTAAAGTAATGCTGTATAGGGGGAGATGGAAGATATGATTTGATTCAAAAATATTGCACATTCAGAGAATTCCAGCGTCAAATGCATGTGATGTTCCTGAATTGGCCCATCAAATCAACACTAATACGAGGGACGTTCAATAAATAATGCCCCTGACCCATTTCCCATAGCAGGAGATTAATGAAACTTGGCACAATTATTAGTCTTTCTCTACATAGGAACCCAGAGTTATGCATTTCTCCCATCGTTTGATGCATCTCTGGACACCGTTTTTGTAGAGCACCCCAGGTTGGTTCTCCAACCATGTCGTAACTTCAGAAATCAAGGCTGCATCATCTGGGAAATGCTTTCCTTTCAAAAACAACTCCATGGCTGGGAAGAGATAAAAGTCAGAGGGTGCAAGGTCAGGAGAGTAAGGGGGATGGGAAAGGGTTTCATTAGCCAGACGTCCGTGCTTCTGATCTGGCGAGTTGTGGACCCGAGCATTGTCCTGCAGGAGGATACCTTTGCTGATCTTGCCCCACCTCTTGATTTTGATAGCTTCTCTTAATTTCATCAAAAGTGAAGCGTACGTAATAGGCTTCTGTAATTGTGGTACCCTTTGCCAGGAAATCTGTCATCACTACTCCGTCCTGGTCCCAGAAAACTGAACATGATCTTGCCAGCGGAGGGCTGCACCCTTGCCTTCTTTGAAGGTGGTGAGTCTAAGTGCTTCCACTGCATTGACTGGGCTTTGGTCTTTGGTCCTTTCAAATACAAGAAACGGATCACTGCGTGACACTCAACTTGCTCCATTTCACACCTCCATTTCACACCTGACTCAAACACCTGTAAATCAGAAACCACAATTAGTTCAGAGCTGTTTTTGCAACATAACCCATAGAGATGAAAATCATTACACAATGGCATGCAAAATTTCATCTAGATCAGACAACTGGAAGTGGGCCAGGGGCATTACTTATTGAACGTCCCTCAAATGTGGTATAAAAGTGTACCTGTTTGCTGTATACTGTGTCTGCATTAATTGATTTGAATATTTTGACACAAACTTGAATTTTTTCAGAGAATATTCACGAAGACAGTCTAAGGATGAAGATCCAGACTGGGGAAAACTTAAACACAGAGGCAGCAGAGGCAGTATAGATGAAGAAGGAGGGCAAATTAAACTGAAGAAAGTGGAAAGGAAGCAGAAATCAGTAATAATCATATAGTTATATCTGTGTACTGTACTGTAAACACCTTAAAAGACAGGGGTCGTTGTGCTGTGGGTCCCATAGGGATGTTCACAACAATTGTAAAGTATATTGATTTTTACATGCGTAACGACCACCACCCTTTAATTATTCACTTGGTTTAAATTTTGTGAAATCCGCTTAATTACATGAGCATGTAAAATTTCACTGACAAATCAGGAATTTTAAAACCAGCTCAAAATGGTGAATTTAAAATAATTCAAAAACCCCAATAGAGCGTTATAAATGATTTTCGAGTGCAACTTTAAAATATTACTTTGAATTTCACAGTACGCAGAAGTAACAGCACCATTGAAAAAGACCAAAGTCAATGCAAGCTTGGGTCGTGCACGTCTACCTTGTGGAGTAAGGTATTTGAACTGTGAGCCCAGATGGTTCAAAGATGGCAAACAGTTGGAAAATGGGGATAAGTATAAGTTAATGAAACGTAAAGAAGACGTGGAACTGATCATTCTGGATATAAAACCTGAAGACTCTGGTGAATACAGCGTTGAGTTTGGAGACCCAGCGATTGCTGGCTCTACAGCAGAGTTAACAATTGAGCGTAAGTCTGATATTATCTTCTGCATCAGATGGATGAGATTTTCCTAAACTTCGAAAACATCTTGAAAACAATATACATAGATTATTTATATGTTGAGTGTTTTCACTATTTGTTTATATTTCCACATGTAGATACCATTATATGTGCTACGCAGTGCTGTGCATGTTTAGATTTCATGCAAACAAACAATGTATTTTACATTAATGTTGTATTTGTTGCATGGGACCCATATCAAACCTGACAACATATGATGTCTGTCATGTATTAACATAAATCATCATGTCCAAACACTGTCTTCCTAACATCTTCCAATGTGTATCTTTTGTATCTCCAGCTCAAGCTCCTTCAGGTAATGGTAGGAGAGAAAAAAGGGCATTTATTAATCTATTTATTTATTTATTATATATTATCATATGCATGCTTTTGTCAAAGACAGACACTACTAAGACATTCTTACCGCCACAAATTATACTCCCAGATAGTCCATATCTGGTTTTTACTTCATATACAAATTATATTCCATATCCAGATAGTCCATATCTGGTTTTTACTTCATATACAAATTATACTCCATATCCAGATAGTCCATATCTGGTTTTTACTTCATATACAAATTATACTCTGTATCTGGGTTTTTTACATATCCCAAATTATACTCCATATCCAGATAGTCCATATCTGGTTTTTACTTCATATACAAATTATACTCCATATCCAGATAGTCCATATCTGGTTTTTACTTCATATACAAATTATACTCTGTATCTGGGTTTTTTACATATCCCAAATTATACTCCATATCCAGATAGTCCATATCTGGTTTTCACTTCATATTCAAATTATACTCCATATCCAGATAGTCCATATCTGGTTTTTATTCCATATCCAAATTATACTCCATATCTGGTTTTTATTTCATATCCAAAATTATACTCCATATCCAGATAGTCCATACCTGGTTTTTATTCCATATCCAAATTATACTCCATATCTGGTTTTTATTTCATATCCAAATTATACTCCATATCCAGATAGTCCATATCTGGTTTTTACTTCATATCCCAAATTATACTCCATATCCAGATAGTCCATATCTGGTTTTCACTTCATATCCAAAATTATACTTCATATCCAGATAGTCCATATCTGGTTTTTACTTCATATACAAATTATATTCCATATCCAGATAGTCCATATCTGGTTTTTACTTCATATCCAAATTATAATTCTATATCCAGATACTCCATATCTGGTTTTTAGTCCATATCAAAATTATACTCTGTATCTGGGTTTTTTACATATCCCAAATTATACTCCATATCCAGATAGTCCATATCTGGTTTTTATTCCATATCCAAATTATACTCCATATCCAGATAGTCCATACCTGGTTTTTACTTCATATCCAAATTATAATTCTATATCCAGATACTCCATATCTGGTTTTTAGTCCATATCAAAATTATACTATATATTCAGGTACTCTGGTTTAGATTTGGTTTTTAATAGGACTGTGGCATATGGTGCCATGGATAAATAAAATGTTCACACAGCAAATGTAATCTTTTCGTTTAAACATTCACCACTCCACGAATGAAAGTTTGCAAGTGCAATAAAAATGGAACAAATATTAAAAATAAGTCAGTGTGATTTTTGCGTACAAAAATTAAAATAAACTTATACCCTAGTCCCTTAAACAAAGAGATTGTGTTTGCTGTGTACATAGTCTAAAACCATGTAGTGACCACATCAGATCTTTGAAAAACATGTTTAAGGTTTTCATTTCCTCTTTTTTTACCATGTGTTAGTAGTGTGCTATCTTGAGTTTTCTATGTTGATACTATATTGCCTTAAAGATGTTCAGACCAAATTGAATATTTAATTTTAAATTTCATTATTATTTTGATATTGTGAAAAATAGTAATTTTCATTTTATCTTTATTTTTGCATGAGATTTCATCTTTTATCATAATTTTGTTCAGTGACAGGTGTACAATAAAATTGTTATAAATATAAATAAATATTATAAAAATATTCAAGAAATTATCATTCAAATTCAGTTTTAAAAAGTTTCCAATCAGATATTTTTTCTCATCCTATTTACTATCAGAGATACATTCTCATTCCATTCAAAAAATAGTTTGAACTTCTTTATATGCATGTCTTGTTGTATTTTGTACGTTGCATCCACCACAACACATTATTTCACAGTATATTATTGACTGAGACACTAACCCTCTGCCAATTGCAATCCCTTTTGCTTTCTTAACCACACATCAATTATCTATGTCACATAATAACTCAATAATGTATAGAAATGTTCCCAGGGTGCAACTGTGTTTATACTGTCATGATCCTGGTGTTGCTGACTTGACTGACCGGTTAATTGAGTGTTGTTGAGGTGTTAAGAATTTTCTGTTATTATAGCATCTTCAGTGCAAATGTTGTGTAGTCAATCAAGCCTGTATATACTGCACACCTATCCTTGCAGTGTCATTTCCACTTGCACTTCTCACTTCAGCCTGCATAAATCCTTTCAAAAAATCACCATTTTTAATGCATAATTATTGGTGAGTTATTTTATGCAGTGAGTCACTATGCCACACCCCACCCCCACACCCCCACACCCCCCACACACACCTACCTTCATATGGCTGACATTTATTTGAAATTTTATCTGTCCTTACAGTATCATTAACAATACACATTTTATGTGCTGTGCTGCCAATCAACTGAATACATGGGCATGAAACATCATATAATTCTGCATACGTTTCAAGCAGAACCATAAATGAATTACTGAACAGTTTTAGAGAATTAGAGAATTTCCGGATTTTGTCTCATATTTGATGTAGACATTTTTCTCCTACATAGAAGTACAAACAAGATATTCATGTCCAATTTATTCTATGGTACTGTAAGAGCAAAAGATCACTTTTTGGTGTGTTATAAATCACCAATGCACCAATTATTTAAATAAATACTTATTATAATTATTAATTAAAAATCTTTATACAGCAATTATATAAAATCTGAAGAGATGCACAAACAGTACAATTTCCATGCTACATTGATATAAGTTATCCTGGCCTATGTGTACAAGTTGTGTTCATTGTAAATTTTACTCTTTTCAGCTGCTAAAAAAAGAACCCGGTTCACCAAAAAATTGAAAACCTGCCAAGTTAAAGAAGGAGAGGAAGCCAAGTTTGAATGTATGGTCACAAACGCAAATTTACCGTTCCACTGGGAGAAGAAAGGTTCACCTGTCAAGAGGGATAAACGACATCAAGTAATTGACGTTGGTAAAACGCGTATTCTCATGATTAAAAATGTCACCCCAGCAGATGAAGGAGAGATCAAGTGTTTTTGTGGTGATGAACCAGACTCTGCAGAGTTGTTTGTTGAACGTAAGTAGAAATGTTGCATTCATTTTTTTTTCTGATCACCCTTCATTAGTTTGAAATGTCTCACAAAATCTTGGTAGGAATGAAAGAGAAATGCTATTTCAGAAAATGTTAACAAATACACAAGAAGATTTTTGTTCAGATATGAAAACAATGTTAAGTTCTCTCTGTTTGGTTCAAAATACTTGTTAAATTTTCAGAAATATTGAAGAAGAATTTGTTTAAAATGATTAAACAGCAACATTTTGGTTGAAATATGGATTCAATGTTGAGCTTTGACTGTTTGATCCAAAATTAATTTTTAAAGTATCAGAAAAATCCACAAAATGTGAAAACAAAAATCACATTTTTGAATATTAAGACATTATAGTCTTACATAGCAGAGCTGATAACAAATAAAAATATGCAGAGAAATCTTCAAACTTTAGGGGATTTGTACAAACCCAATGAACCCTCTGTATCTGCCTCTGAATTATAGGAAAGATTCACTTGTCATCTGCTACATATAATTGTTTTATTCAATCCACAGCAAAACCCAAACCCCAATTTGTGAAGCTACTACAGAGTCAACAAGTGATGGAACGAGACAGAGCTGTGCTGCAGTGTGATGTGAACATGGACGATGTTGAGCTAATATGGCTGAAAGATGGAGCACCAGTTAAAGCTGATAATAGAGTTAAAATCAGACACGCCGGTCTTATTCACCAGTTGATATTTGAAGATGTCAAAATGGATGATGAGGCTGATTATGAGGTCAAAGTGAAAGGTCTTGAGGAGACTTGCTCTTCCTGTTCATTGCTTGTTGATGGTACATAATTATGTTTTTTTTTTAATATATCATTGTTTTGTTTCGGTAACAGTGTAACAAGGTTACTCCTAGATGTACAACATATATAAATTCGGTTCCTCAGGATTCCCTCAAAATTGAGTTTGTGATTCTTCTTGACTTTAGCTGTTTTCATTGGCTTACGTATAGCCCATAGAATTACATTGTACAGTGGTGCCATGTTCTGTGATGTAGCTCCACCAAGATGATTTTCTGAGGCTGAATCTTGGTCTTCTTCTACTAATAGTGAAATGTTGTTATCAGATTTGCGAATATTGCTAAAGACTATCACTATTTCGTAAACAAAAAATTAATCATATGTGCTTGTATGTCTACTGAACTATTCCCAAAGACTAGTGTATAGCATACAAAATTTAACAACAGGAATTCCTGGATTGCATCTTTGGAGACTTATGCACATTCATTTGTTTTCTGGTCTAATTTAATATGGTCGAATGGCGACCATTTTTATGATTGAAATTCATCAAAATCAAGTATGTCTGCAATTTTGTTAGAATACACATTGGGCATAATGAGACGTTGATATATGTTATTTCGTTTTTCAGATTGAATTCAAAATTGGCAAGTCTGGTAATTTTCAAAGCTATATTAGATATGACTAAATCAATCATGTTCAAATTCTAGACATCCTACATTGTACATCATGTCACTTGTATGCACATGTGTTGATCAGATTCAAGATGGCTGAATGGAGACAATTTTACTGATAACAATTCAGCAAAATTAAGCATTTTTGCCATTCCGAATCAGGTCTTAAGAGATGGACTGCTGTTGTCCAAACTTAGTACTTGAATATAATGGAACCATAATATTTTTCAGATCAAAATAAAAATGTATGTATTAACGAAAGCTGTTCTAGAGCCATGTCCAGAGAGTGCAATCAAAAGCATTATTTTCATGTTACACCCATTACCATGCTTTTGTTTGAGTTTCTGATTCATGACAAATAATTTGTTCTATTTAGTCACATCTGTATTTACCAATCATTGCACACAATCTGGGTGTGTGCTACAGTCACTCTCCGAGTAAAGTGACTGTGGTGTGTGCTACATCATCTTGGTAGTGTGGTTTGATTATTCTTGTCCATTCTCTTTTAGAATACAAACCACCTCCTGACTTTGATGAGAAGTTGACTGATGTTGTTGGATGTGAGGATGATGAAGCTGAATTTGTTGCCAAAGTAAATGACAAAGATGTTGAGGTACAATGGCTGAAAGATGGTAAACCAATACCAAAAGATCCCAGAATCAAACACACAAAGCAAGGAGTTCTAAGAAAATTAATTATTAAACCTGTCACTCCTGAAGATCAAGGAGAATATACATGTATTGCAGGGGACAAGAAAACTGTTGCATCTCTCAAAGTTGAAGGTATACACAGTCATGTGATTTCACAAACTAACTATTTTTATGTGTTTGAGGGCGCACTATTATTGTTTCCCAAAGTGAGGCAGTACAGAGAATAGTACAGCTAAACACAAGGCATTTTTCTGTAGTTGCAAGAGTCATTTATGTTTATATGTTTGTATATGTCTGTTGACTGAGACACAGAGAAAATGTCTGCTAGTACTGATCTCAATCCACTATTTTTGACAAATCTTTTTCAGTTCTTCTTTTCATGTTGTAAAATAGCAATAGCTTGTCAAACAAGCTGGTTTGTGGACGTTTTGAAATGTTGTATGTGTAAAATACATTTAAAGCTGACAAACGCTCTATGATTTAGCCAAGTATCTTTAAAGGGCAAGTCCTTAATTGTTTCTTTATCTTTGCCCTCATAACATTTCAAATACTTATCTTAAGGAAAACCTGAAAAGATGACATTGTCTCCAAAAAAGCAGCTAACAAAAAAGTTACCCATTCCTGAGCAAAGTGAACCACCAAAAGGAGAATATGAATTCCAACGTGCTCAGCTAAAGAAGTTCAACACGCCAACAAAAATTCACAACACTGAAATTGAGCCACCTAGTTCTGTGAAAAAAACACCAGCAGCACCACTCAGTGTTGATAACAAACCAACAGTGCCACCTAGTGACATTGACAACAAACAAAGAGCGCCACCTAGTGATGTCAAAGAGAGTTCTACAGTACCACGTTCTATAAAGTTGGTTACCCTTGATGAACCTTCCCAGCTGTTGTCAAGTGCACCACCCATTATCCTAACAGAAGACAGGGAAAGTAAATCTGAAGGTGATTCAAAGTAGACCCAGATGGGGTAACATTCCAAGTTATTGAAGCACAAATGCACTTGCACATTGCAGAAACCTCCTCTTGCTTGGCAACATGTATTCCACTCATAACACAAAAACAACAAACTAACCTCAAAATTGTTGAGAATGCACACCCTCTTTGAGACTTTTCACTCAATACATCCAACCCATATTCCTCTCAGAACACAAAAAACTACAACCTGATCTCAATATTGTTGAGAATCCACAACCACTGTTAGACCTTCCACTCAATATATCTAACCCATATTCCTCTCACTACACAAAAAACTACAACCTAATCTCAATATAGAATCCACACCCACTGTAAGACCTTTCACTCGACACATCCAACCCATATTCCTCTCACATCACAAAAAACTACAACCTGATCTCACTATTGTTGAGAATCCACAACCACTTTAAAACCTTTCACTCAACACATCCAACCCATATTCCTCTCACAACACAAAAAACTACAACCTAATCTGAATATTGCTGAGAATCCACAACCACTGTAAAACCTTTCACTCAACACATCCAACCCATATTCCTCTCACAACACAAAAAACTACAACCTAATCTGAATATTGCTGAGAATTCACACCCACTGTAAGACCTTTCACTCAACACATCCAACCCATATTCCTCTCACAACACAAAAAACGCCAACCTAATCTCAATATAGA